GCAGAGAGGCTGGGAATGGTGGCGCACAACTATAATCCCAGCACTCAGAGGGCAGTGAGAGACAGGGGGATTGTCACAAGTTTGACGCCAGGCTGGTCTATATCAAATGTTCCAGGAAAGTCAGGGCTACGTGGTGAAAGCCTGTCTCAAGAAACGCACAGTGCAGTGTAGCCTTTAATCCCAGCACTGGTGAGGCAGAGTAGGAGGACCTCTGTGAGTTCAAAGCCAGCCTCGTCTACAGAGTGAGTTCCAGAACAGCCTGGACTACACGCAGAGAAACCACATCTTGAAAAAAACAAAACAAAATTAAAGAAAACAAATCCCCCCCCTGCGCGCGCACATTGTAATTATTGATTAGCATGTAGACTCCAGTGTATCCCTATCTCCTCAGATACAGTGGGTTTCAGAGATGTGGGACTGTGTCAGTCTATTTGGTGTCTTGGCACAAGTCTACTCAGCTGACAGAGATCGGGGAATCCAAAGTTCAAGGCCTAGTCTGGTATGGTGGCACACATCTTTAATTCCAGCACTCAGGAGGCAGAGGAGGCAGGATCTCTGTGTAAGTTCCAAGCCAGCCTGTCTACAGAGCGAGTTCTAGTCAGGGTTACACAATGAGATCCTGTGTCAAAAACAAGAAAGAAAGAAAGAGAAAGAGAGGAGGGAGGAAGGGAGGGAGAAAGAAAGAAAGGGAAAAAGAGAGAAGAAAAAAAGTTTAAGCCGGGCGGTGGTGGCGCACGCCTTTAATCCCAGCACTCGGGAGGCAGAGGCAGGCGGATCTCTGTGAGTTCAAGACCAGCCTGGTCTACAAGAGCTAGTTCCAGGACAGGCTCCAAAACCACAGAGAAACCCTGTCTCGAAAAACCAAAAAAAAAAAAAAAAAAAAAAAGTTTAAGGCCTAAGCTACACGATGAGACCATTTCAGAAAAGACTTTTTAAGCTGGGTGGTGGTGGTGTAAGCCTTTAATCCCAGCATTCAGGAGGCAGAGGCTAGTCTTGAACCAGCCTGGTCTACAAAGCAAGTTCCAGGGTTAAATAGAGGGACCTTGTCTTGGAAAACCAAAATTAAACCAAACCAAACAACAACAATATCAAAAAACCACCACCAACAAAAGTTTTTAAAAGGTGTTGGGCTCGGGGAGGTTTCTCAGTTGCTCAGCTGGTGTTTGTCTTGCAAGTGTGAGGACCTGGGTTCAGCTCCCCAGATCCTAAGTAAAGGGGCACACAATGGATGCCTGCGCCTCTAGCGACAAGTGGGTGTCTGTAAGCTCTTAGGCCAGATAGCCTGGCCTGTGTGGGGAAGAGCCAGGCAAGTGAAACAAAAGGTGGGGAAAATGCCTAAGGACCTCCACGAGTGGCTGCCCTCCGACCTCTGCGCCTAAGGACCCCCACGAGTGGCTGCCCTCCGACCTCTGCGCCTAAGGACCGACCGAGTGGCTGCCCTCTGCATCTAAGGACTGACACAAATGGTGCCCTCCAACCTCTGTATGTGTGCCGTGCCTGTGTGCACCCACAGAAAGGGCATCAAGCAGCCCCAAGTTCAGACCCTAGGATTACACGACAAACAAGCAAGTCCACTCTTCCTTGCAGGTGGGACAGTGTCACCTCCCATCCGTGGAACTCAGATACCCAGAAGCTGAGCCCTGCTCTAAAGATGAAGGGAAGGGGTGGCCCCTTGAACTTGTCCAAGGCACAAGGCGAAGTGAAAACCAACAGAAGCAGGTGTTCCTAGAACTTAGAACACGGCTTGTTCAAACAGATGGGCCTCACCCACGAGAAGTGGCATCCATCACGGTCCCCAGCCCTGCCCAGCTGAGGCCACTTCAGGCAAAAAGTGGCCACTTTGCTGGTCCCCAACTTTGCTGGCCACGGAGACACAGTTAATCTGCTGACGTAATTGAGGGCATAAATAATGCTACTGACAATAAGCGACCTGAAGGGAGGGGGGATGGACACGGCACAGGTCCCTTCCAGGAGCCATTTGTCAGCCTGGTCCTAGAGGTGTCACAAATGACTCTGGGTCAGTGTGGACGATGTCAACAGCCGAAGACAGCGCTGCAGCCACACGAAGGGGCAGGGTGAAGCCAGCAAGAAGCTGGCTTCCTGTTGTTTTCACTATGGTCCACATTCCAGAACAGCAGCCTCGGAGACCTGGCAGAGCCCCCTCCCACCACCACTCTGGCTTTTTCCCAGCCTCCTCCATTCTCCTGGGCAAGGGGCATCTGGGGTCCACTCAGCAACTGTCTTTATCTCCTTGCTTAGGAAGGGCTCCTGCGATTCTACTTCTGTCACCAGTTGGGGACCAAATGTTGAGCCTGTTGGGACATTTTGTACCACGGTGTGGGGGGAAGCACAGCTACCTGTTTCCCTACCTCTCCCTGGAGGACAAAGTACCCAGAAACACACCCTGGATAGCATCCAAGGTGAGTGTTGACGTAATGGAGACACATTTTCACCATGTCAACAGCAGAAATAGTCTATGATGTATATGTGGTGCCCCCCCCCATATACATCATACACACCAAATTAATATTAAAAACAAAAAACCAAAGGCAGAGCTGTCTTGTGCGATATTTGTCTTTGGGATTTCAGGCCAGCCCCCACTGAGGCTCCAGGGAGTCTGTTTAGCTTTAAGGATGCACCACCCTGGCCCTAATGAGCAATTCAGTAAGCCCCACAGACACAGGCGGTCGTGAGACTTGTGCCACCTAGTGGCTGTGAGAAGAGCAAGGCCAGTCCATTGTCCTTTGGGACCAGTCTGACTGGGGCACTAGAGTTCACAGGCTGTTTCCTGCAGTGCCTCTAGGGACTGTGGGTGACCTCTCAGCTTCAGGAATCAGCCACAATCAATGGGGAGGGCTACCTTCACAGAACCTCAAGGATGGGCTGTGATGAGCATACAGGTCCCCTAGCCTGGAATGTCTCTATTTCCAGATGTTAGCATTTTTTAAAAATATTTGTTTATTATGTATACAATATTCTGTGTGTCTGCCTGTAGGCCAGAAGAGCATCAGATCTCGTTTCAGACGGTTGTGAGCTGCCATGTGGTTGCTGGAAATTGAACTCAGGATCTTTGGAAGAGCAGTCTGTGCTCTTAACCGCTGAGCCATGTCTCCAGCCCTTAGCATTTTTTTTTATGACATAAGCATGTGCACATGCCCCGCCACTGTGTTGACGTCAGAGAACAATGCTCACGAGTGGGTTTTCTTTTCACGTGGGTCTGAACTTAGTTCATCAGGCTTCAGTGCCTTGACCTACTGAGCCATCTCACTTGCCCTTAATACTTAATGTTTTTATTTAATGTGTGTTTTGCCTGTATATCTGTGCACCGCTTGCATGCAGTGCCCAAGGAAGCCAAAAGAGGGCACTGAATCCTCTGGAACCAAAGTTATAGTGTGCTGCCATGTAGGGTGCTGGAAACTGAACCCCGGTCCTTGGCAAGACCAACAAATGTTCTAAAGCACCCCTCCACCTCACTTATCTTTTAAAAATCTGTGTATGTCCACGTGGCCACATGCCTGTGACTGCCACTCTACCATTCTTCCTGCAAAGGAGGACATGTGGATGAGCTCTGGGGCACAGGTGGGTTGCAAGGCCTTGCTGGAGCAGCCGCGAGTCCGTGCACGCAGGAAGTGAGTGTTCTAGTCCCAAGGCAACAGTGGCTGGAGAGCATCAATGGTACTGCAGGCTCTTCCTGGACAGCTACAGTGACCAGGGAAGTTTCTAGGACCTTCTTTAGTACTGTTGTTTTGATGTAGCAAGAATTGAACCCAGGGTCTCACCCATGCTAAGTATGACCCTACCAGTGTTGGCATCTCAGGCATGTACCACACCATCCAGCTCTGATAGGGGGATTTGTCATCACTGTGGCTTGGATACAGATACGGAGACCCAGCCATACCATGTTAAAACCTCCAAGTTTTCCCTTAGGACATGTAAGAAATGGGTGTTTTCAAGTGCACCTCAGTACAGAATGAGAAAGAGGATAATAAGGACAGTTCCCTTAGGCTTTAAAAAGGTTTATTTTTATTTTTTTCTCAAAGCTAAGGATGTCTTTGTCAGACATCAGAGAAGAGAGGATCATGTCTCTAAATCCAGAGCAGATGTCCCTTGTGCTTCTCAAAACCCACAGAATGCAAATGGTACCAGATGCCAAGGGGCAAGAACCGAAACAGAAAAACCCATGTGCTTGGCCATCAGTGTGCATTTCCAACCAACTTCACCCACCCAGAGACTTCCCACACAGGCCACCACCGACCTGGGCCACCACGCGACAGGAACAAGTGATCTGGCCATTCCCAGCATGCAGAGGGCAGGCACTACAAAGACCAAGGGAGGGACAGTAGGACCATGCATCTTGACGTCAACACCATGATGAAAAGTATGACCGAATCAGTTGGATGTGCTGGCTTGTGCCTGTAACCCCAGAACACGGGAGGCAGAGGCAGGGTGATCCTGAGTGAGCACAGCCTGGGCTAAACTGTAAGAGCATCTCAAAGACGAAACAAAAAGAACCACGGAGTGGAGCTGAGCGAGGAATAGATCTCTCATCTCAGCTGGGCTGTGACCAAAATATCTAGTCTTTCCCAAGCAGCCCACCTGCTGTCAAGTCTCGGCTCCAAGAAAGACTGTGAGAATGAAGTTACTAAGCCCGACTCAGCACCCGATGCAGCCTCGAAGCTCCAGGGTCCACAAGAGGGGCAGAATGGGGCAGCTTCAGGTGGAGGGGCGCTACCTGATTGGGCAGGGCATTTGTTGCAGGGGGATGGCAACCCTGGGCCTCTGCAATGCGTCGTTCGCTTGATGCCCAGTGTGTATGGGGGGGTCTTCACACCATCAACCCCCAGGGAAGATAACTATACTTCCCCCCCTTCATGCTAAGGAGTAGGACAGGCCAAGGCAGATGTCCACACACATCCTTAAACACGACACCGTGTTTTGTCTCCCACCTAGCTTTGTAGGCAGAGCAGAGCAGAACAAAAACCATGCACTTTACTCTGTGAGACATTTCAGTTTTAGTGTTTATTGGAGTCCATTGCTGGCCAGGCCCAGTGCTAGGGCTTCCCTCCCACACCTCACAACAGCCCTGTGAGGTAGGGTTCTTCTCGTACAGTCCAGTCCAAGGCCCCCGAGCTGCCCCTAACTCACATTAGTGTAGGGAGGACAAGGGGCTCCAACTTTTGCTTTGTTTTGGAAAATACAAAAGCTTTGGTCCCAATCCATACAAATCTTAAAAATTTGGGGGATTTTAAACTCTCATTCCCCAGTGTATTTTTTTGTTTAAAGTCGTCATCCTTTGGTTTTTTTTTTTTTTTTTGGAGACAGGTTCTCATTCTGTAGGCCAGGCTTGCCCATACTGTATAGTTTAGGTTGGCTTCAAACTCACAGCATTTCTCCTGCCTCCTCTCCTGATTGCTGGGATTACAGGTGTGTACCACACCTGATTCCAAAATTTTCTCTTAACTTTGGAAAATTTAAAAATGGCCATTTGTGTGAGGCCTGGTGGTGAGCAATCACTTGGGTGTGTATTGTAGTTGACTCAGTCCCTCAATTGGCTCTGACAGTGGTGAGTCCTGACAGAGTGCCCACCTCGGAGAGCTGCTTTCGCCCCTGTCCACACCCCTCCTCAGGCCTGAGGGCCAAAAGGGAGAAATAAATCCCACGTTTCTGGAATACTAATTTCCAAGAAAAGAAATCTCAGCAGGTGGAGTTGGGCCCCAACCCACAGCATTCAAGTCCAGAGTCAGCACGTAAGTCACACTTGATTCCAGACATCGCTCTTTGGTTCCAGGAAGCCCCAGCTCCAGCCCTGTGCGCTTGCTTCCCAGGCTCTTCTAACCAGGCCACAGGGCTGGGGTTCCACGCACAGCTTAAAGTTCAACACCCCCAGTCCTAGCACCGCCAGCAGCCAGATCTAGCTGTGGACAGCCCTTGTGCCCCACCCATGTGATTAGCCACCCTGGGAACAGCAAGGGCAGGAGACACCAGCAGGTCTGTCTAGCCACTGCACTCTGCAGAAACACTACCAGACTTACCCAGGCTAAACTCAAGACCGCTACTACAGTTCCTCCTGTCTAGAAGCCTGACGAGGCTGGCAGAACCTGGTACTCCGACATCATCCTCTTCATTCCCTGCTTTCACCTAAAGCCACGTTCATGAAGAAGTAACAGCCCACACCTTCTTTAACTCATAACTTCGTAACTGCTACGGTCCGTTTAGAACGCAGATTCGAGACCTGAACTTTTCATTCCGTAGAGCTGAGAAAGGAGCTAGGCACAGTGGTACCTGTGATCCCAGCTCTCAGGAAGTTGAGGCGGGGGACCGCTCTAAATTTGAGGCCAGTGCTGGCTATATATTGAGTTCTAGGGCAGCCTTGGCTGTAATGTGAATCTGTACTTCCCCCAAAGCCACCAAAAAAGTAAAAAGCAAGCAGAAGCGAGGGCAGACCTGGAACCTGACATCACATTCCTGCACATTTACAGACCGAGAAAGAAAAGGCACGTCACTGGGGTGGGGGACCGGGGGAAGACCCACTGTCTCCCTGGGGCCTCTCTACCTGCTGCTGCTAACTCTGGGGTGGGGAGACAGGGGAGCCCCTGGCAGACAGCACAGCTCCAGGCGCACACTGATGCCTGGCGGCTGACGCAGCATCTTATACCCTTGTGCTTTTTTGGGCATGGGAGTAGCTACACTCTCCTTTAAAACAACAAACCAAGCCACAGTTAGCGGACGGGGACAGTAGGAGACAGAGCATTTAATGACACAAATGAGATTGCCTTCCTTGGCTCCAGGCTGCCCCGGCACATTGCCAGAAAAGAAGGTGCAGAGGAGAAACTGCCTCTCCCTCAAGATCCCCATGGAGAACAAGACCCCACACAACAGTCCCCCATGGAGAAAGCTAGTTCCAGAATGATTCAATCTGGAAAGAGAATATAAACTGGAGGAAAATGGTCCAGGTGGGGCTGTCTCAGTGGGCGGCTGGGCCCTGCCCCTGCAGGATCACGGCACACAGAGCCATCTTCATTCGGGCCCTGCCATGAGACCTGACCGCTCTGCTTGCTATGGGGTGGCTCTCCTATGCTGGCTTGGCACATCACGCATGCAAAGCAAGGAGACGCCAGACTTCACCAGTTAATTTTGGCAAGAAAAAAAAAATAAAAAAAAAAAGAGTGAGAGAAAATAAAAAGCTAAAATTCATAAGCAGGATTAAAGTCACTGAAGTGAAAACAGTGTATTTTCTCGACAGTATGGATAAACTAGAACTACAATCTCTCCGCTTTAAAATCTCTGCCATCCTCTCCCTCAATTCAGGTCAAAGTTCATAGCAGCAATGCACAAGTCCTCTGCCAGGCCAGTGTCCTCTGCTCCTGGGCCAGAGTTCACAGGTCAGGATCAGTCAGTCCGGAGAATCATGGGAGGATGTTCGCTGTCTTCATCCAGGCGCAGGGCGCTGGCTTCATCCTCCAGGCAAGTGCCCCCCACGGCACCCAGGTCATCTGTGTAGGCTGCAAAGATATAAGTGTGCCATCCTCACAGAACCTGCCCAGTTACTGATGCTGTCTGTGCACCAATGACAGGCTGCGTCCTGGAGATGGCCTCAGTTATGGCTTTGGCCACACTAAGACCTTTCCAATCCAGTCAGAAAACTTAGGCCTCTAGAATCTCAGGCAGAGCCAAATGACATCACCCACTTCCCAGCATGCACCACAGCACAACACAAGTCCTGTAAACAGTGGTAACTGAATGAGTGACCAATGAGCCTTTAGAGGACTCTAGCTGGAGACAACACAGATCATATGTTATGGCTGAAGGATGCTTCCAACATGGGAGATAGCACCTCTCTTGCTAGCAAACCCCTTGAGTTTAGGGATGGAGGGGCATGCCTGAGCGAGCTCAGGTGTCAATACTAGTGGCCTCTGCCCATGATCCATAAAGGACATGCTACTTACAGAGGTGGAGGTTGGGTGGGCTCACACACAGACAGAGTCACTGGCCACGATGACTGCCTTTTCCCCCAAAATGAAGACTATAAGCTAACTTTCACAAGCCTTGGAAGGAAGCTCTGTCCCACAGCTCAGCGGGAAGAGGCATCTCCGGTGACAACACGGTACACAAGAATGTGGAAGCAGCTGCTCAGTTACCTTCTAAGTTGGTGTCCTGCCCTTTACCAGGCCTCGTTGGGGAGGAGGGCACATAGGCACCTTTGGCAGCTGCTGCGCCGTACGTCTGCGTTACTAAGGGGCAGTCGTGAGAGGCAGAGTCTACAATTTCGCTGGTCGTCTCCATGCTGCCATCGAGCCTACAGACAGCAAATCAACAGGGTCAGGCTCACTGTTCTAAGCCGAGTATGCTGGCTCCTCAAAAATCTCAGGTTGAAGCAGAAGGATTCCTCAAGTGTGAGGTCAGCCTTGTGTGCAGAGCAGGATTTGTCTCAAACAAGTTGTTCCCAGAGGGCAGATGGACACAGTATGCATAGCACATGCTGGGGCCTGAGGAGCTAGTCAAGGAGGGAGTGCCACAGACGCCTGCTCCCACCTGACAGAACACATTCACCAACACCAAGAATCTGCCCTCTGGGATTTCCGCACAGTGACTTTAACACAGGAAGTCTGGTAAAGTCACACACATCTCAATCACCAACTGCAAATTTCCCACTTGCATCCTGAGGTGGGGTGGCAGGCTCCTGTGGGGCCACCTTACTGTAAACCCTGAGCCTCACCCTCAGCAAGGGCCTGGGGCCACCCAATCATCACACACAGACCATCAGTCTCAGGGTCCTGTGCCAGCAATTGAAAGTAGAGGCTCTTAGCACCAGAAAAGTGAATTTCAATGGGGAGATGGTGCTGGTCAATGACACAGGCCAGCACTGGCCTTAGGGGGATGAAAGCACAGACCTACCGCAGTGTCCGCAGCTGCAGACTGCCATGCAGATCAGCCTCACCTGTGCTGACGCATCAGGGCACACTCGCCACCTTCCTGGGGGTCCAGGTTGTACATGTATAAATAGCCATCTGATGCTCCCACCAGCAACCGTGGGATCTTCTGAATTCTAAAGAAAAGCAGCCCATATTTTAGAAGGAAGACTTTTTTCCCTTTCACAAAAGGCGTCTCACTAAACCTACATCTCCGTCGGGCTAGGAAGAAACCCACCAGCGCACTGGATGAAGGCAGTACCTGGGCTCCTCAGAGTGAAGCTGGTAAGGCCAAGGGTGGCCTGGGTGTGAGCACACACTGAATCCCAAAGAGCAGGTGCTGGAGCAGGGTAGCTGTCAGTTTCTCTGGTCACTAAGAGAGGGTATTTTCTCTCTTTCCTGTGTATATACACGCACTCATCTATACACGCCCGTGGGGAAGCCAGACGAGGGTGTGAGATGTCTACTCTACCATACTGGGCTTTATCCCACTGAACTGGATGTAGGCAGCCAGCAAGTCCCAGTGACCCATTTGTCCCAGCCTATAAGCTTTCAAATATGCATGTGCTTGTTCTAGCAAAGCACTAAACTGCAGCCTTTTAGCTATTCGAATCGGAAAACATGTCAATTTCCAGAGCCAGAGCTGTGCTGTCACTCATCTTACAGACGAGCGTCCCAACTCCTGGATGCTGCCACTACATAGTGTCTACTTCCTATTGTCTGACTTAATGTTTCTCATCAACACAAATACCCTGCAAAATGAAAAAGGAAGTTCTGTGGCGAGGATGCCAGAAGACACCAGGTCTTAGGCCTGGAGGTCTTCCCGCTCTAGGCAGTACTCGATGGAACCCAGGCCTGGACAGGTTGGACAGGGTCACACACACCTCTGCAACCTGGCAACAAGCACCGTGGCTCTGCTCCCTGGACCTGATGTGCAAGGGCAGAGGGTGGGGCCCAAGCTCAGTCTATACTCACGTGGTTAATGAGCAGATGTTTTTATGGCCACAGAATGGTAGGCGGACAGTGGCAAAGGCTCTGCCCTGGTTGAACATTTCTGTCACTTGTGAGGGCAGGTAGCTGGTAGATGCCATAAGCACCTTCCCGAAGTAGCCAGTCCAGGTGGTGGGCTCTTCTGGAGGTCTGGAAGGAAGCACCATCACACAGGGGAGGCTGGAACCTCACTGAGAACGACAGCCCTACAGTCCTAGACCCACTGACCAACCCTCCACACTTCACAAAAGATCGGCTGTGCATAGCACAAGCACAGAGCATCCCGTTTTCCCCCTGCCAGGTTGCTATGACAGCATACCTCCAGGAGCATGCGCTGGAGCAGCAGCCCCCAAAACAGACTCATTCAAGTTCCCATCATATGTTTCTTTAGCATGTGCACTCGTGAAAGGAAGAGACAAGTCGCTACCACACACTTCTGTTGTAGGGACTTAAAATTTAAGATGGAAGCACCCACCTCCTTGATGACCTGTGAGCAGGTCAGAGCTGTGACATTCATTCCAGTGGCAGGCTGATCCCAGATGCCCCAGTACAGAGGGTGTGGAGTGGGGACAAACAGCAACTCATGACAACCTTGAAACCCTGTTTCCCTGGGATCATACCTTGGCACCCCAGCACAGAGGTCTCATGATGAAGCTGGGATTGGTGATGCCATGCCCACTCTATAGCCATACCACATATGTACCCAGAAACGGTGCCACAGAGCAGTGTGGCTCTGTGCCATGCTTTCTAGTGAGTGTGCACAGTTTATTTTTATTTTTTTAAATTTATTTATTGGTTATATACAGCATGTTTTCCTGCACACCAGAAGAGGGCATCAGATCTCATTACAGATGGTTGTGAGCCACCATGTGGTTGCCGGGAATTGAACTCAGGACCTCTGGAAAAGCAGCCAGTGCTCTTAACCTCTGAGCCATCTCTCCAGCCCCACAGTTTATTTATTTTTTATTTTTTTATTTTTTGGTTTTTCGAGACAGGGTTTCTCTGTGGTTTTGGAGCCTGTCCTGGAACTAGCTCTTGTAGACCAGGCTGGTCTCGAACTCACAGAGATCCGCCTGCCTCTGCCTCCCGAGTGCTGGGATTAAAGGCGTGCGCCACCACGGCCCGGCCACAGTTTATTTTTAAATTAATTCAAAATCTTATTGTGTGAGTGTACAAATGCTCGAGTATGCTTGTGGAGCCAGAGGACAATGTCCATGAGTATATTTCTCTCTTCCCACCACCTGGTTCCCAGGGATGAGACTCGGGTTGTCAGGCTTGACACCTTTACCCACTGAGCCATCTTATCAACCCTTAGAAGTAGAGCCCTGCTAGCACAGTGGCAGCATATCCCTGCAACAATGCTGAGACCCCGAGTTTGATTCCCAGTGTCTCCCACCCCCAACAACCATGTTAGAAAACCTTGCTTTTAGCTGAGCAGTGGTGGCAACACACCATTAATCCCACACTAAGGAGGCAGAGGCAGGTAGATTGCTGAGTTCAAAGCTAGCCTGGTTCTACAGAGCGAGTTACAGAACAACCAGGACTACATAGAGAAACCCACCTTGAAAAACTGAAGAAAGAAAAAGAGGAAGAAAAAAAATGTCCCTGTAACTCACTTTTCCCTCACGGCCTCAAGTTTGAAGATATGCACAGTTTCGGTGTTGCTGGATGCGGAGAGAAACATGCTGTCCATGCTGAAGGCCAGGGAGCAGATGCTCACACACCTGAGGAACGGGGAAGGTGAGATAGGGCTCAGCTCTGCCTGCCAACACAGAACACACTAGCAGCAGCTGGGGGTGAGGGAGCACAGCTGTGCCTTCTCAGGAACTTTAACTGTGGCCAACTGAGAGAATCTTGTCAGAGGCACTCGGCCCTACAGAAGTCTTTCTGTTCTTGGCCACCTCCTCAGGAGACAGAGGAACTTGCTTGCGATAAAACCAGTAAGAACAATATTTTTGCTTTCTGAGATGAGTCTCACTGTGTAACCCTGGCTAGCCTGGAACTCAGTATGCAGATCAGTCTGCATACTTCAAGCTGGATGTGGTGGCGTACACCCTTAATCCCAGCACTTAGGAGGCAGAGGCAGGTGGATCTCTGAGTTCGAGACCTGCCTGGTCTACAGAGTGAGTTCCAGGACAGCCAGGGCTGTTGGGGATTGCGGACCACCAGACCTGAATTTCTTGTAAAACAACTTGTTTTCCTCTGCTCTGAGCACGAGACCCTGATGGCAGGGGAGTGGGTTCTGATGAGTCTGCAGCTGAAAGATCCAGAGAGCTGGGGCGTGGCCAGAGGCCTATATAAGTTTCCCCTGAGCACAATAAAGTGGACATTCTTGTATCAAGAATAACCCGTGTCCCCATGTCTGTCTGTCTGTGCGCGTGTGTTTTTAAGTTTCTAGCCCAGTTCCCAGCTCGCGTACCATACCACAGTGCAGGTGCTACACAGAGAAACCCTGTCTTTTTTGGGGGGGAGGGACCCCTTTGTCCCCGGCATGTACTCGGATTAGACTACTTCCCTCTGCACCCCCACTTTTGAGGCAGGGCCTTACTATATAGTTCTAGCGTCCTTGAACTCAGAGATCCTTCAGTCTCTGCCTACATGTTACTGGGACAGAAGATGCGAGCCACTACAGTCAGCTAAGAAAAATTCTTCAACAAACATCTTTAATTTGTTTTTATTTCGATTCCAAATAGCCAAAACTGTGTGGCTGTATGGAACCGGTTTTAGGTGTGGTGGTTTGAACAGGAATGGCCCTCAAAGATTCATGTGTTTGAATGCTTGACCCATAGGGAATGGCACAATTAGGGGGTGTCACCATGGAGGCAGGCTCTGAGGTATCACATGCTTAAGATATGCCTAGCATGGCAGTTTCCTGCAGCCTGCAGATCAAGATGGAGAACTCTCAGCCCCTTCTCCAGCACCATGTCTGTCGGCACACTGCCATATTTCCCACCATGACAATAATGGATTAAACTTCTGAACTGTAAGCCAGCCTCACTTAAATGCTTTCCTTTGTAAGAGTCGCTGTGATCATGGGGTCTCTGCACAGCAACAGACACTGACTAGGACAGTGGATAAGGATGCAGCTGTAGTGGCTGACCGGGTAGGTCAGCCAACAGTGTTGATGATGTTTTAGAGCATCCCCCCAGCAAGTGCCTCCGAGGTCACTAACATTTCACAGCCTACACACATTTCCTCTTAATCCTTCCAGTGATTCCAATATCCCCATATTGATGGAGTGTATGCAGCAAGTGGCACATTCTAAGCTGTTGCCTGAGTGCTTGCCAATGGGGGAGGGATGCCAGGTCTACCCTAGGAGGACCAGGTCCCATGGCTAGACTCAGGTCCCACACAAATGGCATGTGGGGGACAATGAGGGTACAGAGAGGCTCCTGGCAGACACTGGACACAGGAGAATCATCTAGGTGTGTATGAAGAAGACAAAGGCACAGTCCCGGAAGGAGACTAGCATCTGGGCTGTGGCTCTTCTGAAGCGCTGCAGACAGAGCCAATACTGTACAGCCCAGGCTCGGGGAGACTGCTACACAGTCCTCTGGTTCAGGCAGGCTCACAGATGTGAAGCCAAGCCGCTTTCACTGTGATGCTTTGTCCTGCCCTTCCAAGACCAGTTCAGGAGGGCGCTGTGACTGAGCTGCTTGTCTTCAGAGACTGCAGCCCACAGGGACGCTCCGTAAGCATCCTGGAACCCGTGTACTCACCTCTTCACTCCTCTTCGGAACTCGAACAGCTTTTGTCCCTCTGGAATGGAAAATACCCTGATCACAGTCCCCTGGGTCAGAGAGAGGAAAAGGGGGGAAGAAAACAGAATTTTAGCAGACCAAAAACATAACAAAAAAACGCCCTTCCTGCTTTTTCACACAGCTCCACATGCAAACAAGCCGTACTGGCTATTTCCAGGAGCAGCTTGGCTTGGCGGAAGGGGGGTCTGGCCTCCTCTCTGAGCTCCAGGCCTGGGGTAGCACACCCTTGCTGCCACAGACCACATTACATCCTATCCTTGCTCACTGCTTAAAGTCAGTCTACCGATCCAGACACAAGCAGCCTTGAAGCCACTTGGAGTATACTAAAGCACCACGCCTCCACCCATATAGCCTTTACTGAAATACTTATGCTAATAATTAAACACACATACTTGGGATTTACATGACTTAAACACACCATTACCTCCAATATGCAAGAGACAACATCAACGTTTCAATACAGTGATGTTTAAAAATATTACAGCCATTGTAATTGTAAATGTTTTTTGTTGTTGTTTTGTATATGTGGATTTAAGACTGGGTTTCTCTGTTAATAGCCTTGGCTGTCCTGGAACTTGACTGGTAGACCAGGGGCCTCAGAGATCTACCTGTTTGTGCCTCTGAGTGGGGTTTGTGGCATTGCTGTTTTTGAGACAAGGTCCTACTATGTCTCTGGTTAGCTTGGGACTCACTATGTAGGTCAGACTGGCTCTGAATCCAGAGACCTACCTGCTTCTTGAGTCACTACCACGTCCGATGCTTTCCTATTTTATGCCACAAACAAGCATTTGCTTTTTTTTTAATTTGGTAATGTGTGTGTACTTTTGTGGGTGCATGCAGCATAGTGCACATGAGCCAGATGACAGCTTGCAGGAGTCAGTTCTCTCCTATCATGCTTCAGGAATTGAACTCACTCAGGTCCTATGTCAGCCTTCTCTATGTATGTACATGCACCTGTGCATATATGAACATGTTCATAAACACCAACATACATACTTGTGGAAACATTTCACTGGCCCCTGCAGTGTGTCAAACAGTGGCACACTGCTACAGTTTCAAGGTCCCCAGCCAGTGGCACTAATGTGTGGCAGTGGAAGCTTCAAGAGATGAGGCCGAGAGCAAGTTCATCTAATCTGTTAGCATGCCCTTAAAGGGAACATGGGGTGCCAGTTCCCCCTCTCTTCTCCTAGCTACCATATGAGCAGCTTTTTTGGCCATGGGACAGGTTCAAAGTGACCGAGCTTACTGAACACTAACTAATCCATTTGTCTTCCATAGAGGTTGCTTCCCTTGGCCCATTCTCGCAGGGTGGAAGGCTAACATTGTGGATAATTTACACTGTGGTATGCATCACAGTGGGCTCTTTGTGCTTTTCTGTGCATTGGGGAATAGAAAAACCTGCTTGGAACTTGGACCACGTGACCAGAATGAGCAAGGTTTGTGGAGACTGTGGAACCAGGTTCCCCTCAGCCATACCTTCTCAGAAGCAGTGGCAAGCTTGGTCCCACTTGCGTCAAAAGCCAGGGCTGCTAAGGGACTGTCATGAGCCGGGATCATGTTTGCAGCTCTCTGTAAAAGGGAAATCAAGAAAACATGACTATTACACAAGAGTCTTGTCCCCAGGCTCCACTGGGTCATCAGGTGGGAACGGCTGTAAGAACACCATTCCTAGTATCAACCTGAGTAGCGGCAGCCCCATGTCAGGCAGGCTGTGGAAACACTGCTCAGACTGCAACGAGCACGCCTTGGAGCTCAGCACTGAGCGCTGGTGAGACACAGGCAGCTTAGCCAGATCCGCTCTGCCACCTAAGGAGAGCACCAGGGAAAGCCATGCTGCTGGGCCAAGGGTGCACTGCATGTCTTCCCAACAAAGCACATCCATCAGAGCCTCACAAGGACCTCACCAAGTTAATGGTGTCGAAGACCTGCACCTCTCCGATGGTCGCACTCCCTGGGTACGCCAAGTAGCAATTGTCGTTGTTTATTGACAGTGCACACAAGCCTGTGGAAACACATGACAACTGAGTCTAGGATACTGTTTAGTGTCAGAGCGGAGTTCATAATTCTGGAAAAAAAAAAAAACCAATAAAAAGTAGCAGCTAAACCTTGTCTGCACACTCACAAGTTCTGCGTCCCAGGCCACACTGCCTGCCAGCGTCACTCAGAGATGAAATGACTTTGGTTAGGGATGACCAGCAGGCTAGGTTAATACAGATCCGACGACCACTGGGCTCACACATTCACAAGAGAGCCCCGCTGGGATGGAGGCTCAGTAGGACTGGACCAGGGGGAAGGCTGTTCAGTTCACACCTACCACTTGCCTCATGTGTGCGGACCAGAGAAGAAACTCCCACCTATGGCCATCTTTAGTACATTTGTTTATTGAGTGTGCATGCATGTGTGCCAAGGTGTGTGAGTCAGAGCACAACTTAAAAGAGTTGTTCTCTCCTTCCACCACGTGTGTTCTAGGAGTGGCACTCAGGTCCTCAGACTTAGCAGTAAGTGCCCATTTACTTGCTGAGCCAACCCACTGGCCTGCAGTTATCTTTAAAAGGCCCCCCAAAAACAAGGACCTTCCTTTTTTAAAAAAATAAATTATGGGGGCTAGAGATATGGCTCTGAGTTTAAGAGTACTGATCGCTTTATCAGAGGATTCAGGTTCAATTCCTAGTACTCACAGGGCAGCTCGCAGCTGTGTGTGACTCCAGTTCCAGGGAACCCGATAACCTCACCCAGACATACATGCAGGCAAAACACCAATACATATAAAGTTAAAAAAAATTCTACTTGTTTATTTTTGGTTTGTTTGTATGTGCGTGCATGTGGCTGGTGATATGCATGCTACAGTGCAGGTGGAAGGTCAGAGGGCAAACTGCAGGAGTTGGTTTTCTCCTCCCATTTCATGGATTCTAGGAATCAAACTGACGTGGTCAGGCCTGGCGACAAGTGCCTTGACCTGTCGAGCCATCTCACCAGCTCAGGATCTCCTGAGAAATGGCTTACCTGCAGGGTTTGGGGGTGTCTCTCGGATGGTATGAAGTACCTTCATGTCCCGGATGTTGTGTATATAGAGTGACTCCTCCAGACACACAATGAGCCTCTAGAAACAGTGAAAACAAAGACCACCAAGCATGAAGGAGGACTGGGGCATCATGTGCCAAGTTCCAACTGAGCTGACTCCTGGATCAAGATACTCTCCACTCCTAGGACACGATGTAGGCTGCGTACAGAGCTCAAGTGTGTGCCAATCAGGTTATAGGCCCATTCTCATCAGCTCCCATAACTACATATGACAAGAGTACTGTGGATTCTAACAAGGTGACTTAATTCAGTACCATGTGCTTGGGTGATGGGGGAGATCTGTAAAGGCAAACTGCTCAGAAATCTAGGGTGAGTGTTACAGACTATTCCTGTCCACGGTGTGCAAATGTATTATTGAGACTGCTATAAGAAAGAACTGAACATTAAATTTAATTTTATATCAATAAAGAACTGAACAGCCAAGAGGAGGACTTCCGGGCACACAGAACTCTGGGAGAAGAAAGGCGGAATCGCAAGACAGAGAGGAAACAGCATGTGCAGTACAGGGTAAAGGTAACTACATAAAGAATGTAGATTAAAAGATATGGGTTAATTTAAGTTATAAGAGCTAGTCAGAAACAAGCCTAAGCTATCGACTGAGCTTTCATAATTAATAAGAAATCTCTGTGTTTTGATTTGGGAGCTGGCTGGCAGTTGATAGGACAGATAAAAAACTCACAACAGGTGAGGGCTGAGGAGATAATAGCAGTTACTGTGTGAGTGTGAGGGACAGCCGTTCGGACCCCCTAGGGCTCACATAACGCCGGATGCGGCAGTGCCATTACGGCAAGATAGAAGGTGGAAATGGGAATTCCCTGGTGTACACAGAGGCAAGCAAGACACCCTGCCTCAAATAAGGTAGAAGGCAAGTGTACAGACACACACACACACACAAACCTAACAGCAACATGGTGAGCCCAGCCAAGTGCACAGGCCCATCATCTACCTACTGCAGAGACTGAGGCAGGAGCATGGCAAGTTTGAGGCCCCATTACAAAATAAGTAAAAAGGGGCTGGAGCTGTAGCTTAGCAGTAAAAGTACTTGCCTCTCATGTGTGAGGTCCACCCCGAGTAGCACAAAAAACAAAAACAACAACAACAAAAACCTACAAACCCCCAAAACCTATGAATGAGGTACAGGTAAAATACAACTAAGAGCACGAGGATTATGAAAAGTATAAAACGTTACTATGTGCACAGACTGATTATTTTGTTGTAAACTCTTAGCTCTTTTGTATGTGCATGTATGCATGTGTACTGTGTGTGCTAGTTCCTGAGGAGGTGGAAAAAGGGTGTGAGATCCCCCTGGAGCTAGAGTTACAGGTGGCTGTGAGCCACGTGATGTGGGTGGTGGGACTGAACTCAGTCCTGATTTTAAAGACAGGACACTGGAGCTCCTAGATGCTACTGCTGGGACTGATTTCTGTGAGGGGCTTGGCACACACTTCACATCAGCTGTATTGGAGGACGAATCTGCTATGCTTTAAACTTGAAAAGTATTATATCCCATAATTTCCCAGCTGAACTAACTGATGGATGGGGCCAACTCCCAGTTCAATCAGGCAACCAGGACGCACATGTCTGGTTAACTGCTTTAAAAACAATGCAGCCTCTGGAATCTGACTGCTGCAGCACACAGAAAACACTGGAGGCTCTTCTGCAGTGGCTACTGTGTGCAAACTGTGGCCAAGACTCTCAGGAAACACACGCAGCAAATGCTCCACATAAGGGGCTTGTTCTGTTGGTTTGGGGAAAAATATACATCACAGAAGGAAAAGATGGAAGAGACTCTTCAAAAGTATCGTTTATAAAAGCAAAAGAAGGCACTGCATAAAAAGCTGATGCTATCCCTGGACCCGCATCCAGGGAGACAGTAACCGACAATAAGACTAGTGTCCTGAGGACAAATGGAGTGGGCTGGGGCAAAGCAGTGTCATGCTTAGGACTATTGGATCAAAGATGCTGAGAATGGAGCTAATGGTCTGCCTGAGCAAGTGTGTTCTGGAGTTGGAGGCAGAGGCAGATGGATCATTGTGAATTCAGGGCCAGTCTGGTCTACATAGCAAGTTACAGGACAGCCAGGGCTACATAGACACCCTGCCTCAAAAACCCAAAGAAAAGACATTCAGGAACCTAGAAATGATAATGGTGAAGAGTCGAAAGCCCAACAGAGTGAGACATGGGAGGAACATGCCTCCGCCCCCTACAATGCTAGGGTTAGAGGTACCCATGGCCAGCCTGAGTTTTTATGCTGGGGATTCAGGCTCAGGTCATTGTACTTATGCAGCAAGACCTCTCTGAGACATTTTCCCAGCCCTACTCATATTTTGAGATAGGCTCCCATACTCCTGATCTTCCTGTCTCTATCTCTCAGAGTGCTCAGATTACAGGTGTACAGATTACACTTAAGCTGGTTTTACGCTGTGCTTGGGACGGTACCTAGGACTTGGGGTATGGTAGGTTCTCTACCAACTGAGCTGCTTACTAGTACGAGGTGCCACGCACCTGCCTGTTCAGCTTCACAGCCAGTATCGTGTTGGAGTAGCTGTAGTTGCATATTTCAGTTCCCTTCTTAAAGTGGCAAACTTTCAGTTTCCTGGGAGCTTTGAGGCTGACGATGGCTACCAAGCTGCTTGAAAACAATCTCTCCACGATGCACACATCTTCTGTGTCAGCTGGAATCAGAAAAGAAGAACACATACAGGGACAATACATCTCCCAGTCAACCACCCATCCACCCACAGACACAGGTGCATGTACTTCTAACAGGGACATGACATTGAATGCTGTAAGGGATACATGGGCTCCCATGTTCCCAAGACTCACAGGACAGCAGGGGGGGATGGAAAGTCTCATTATCTAGAGCCATGGCTGCTGGCACTATAAATACAGCTCACACCCTATGTGCAAACTCAGATGCCAAAGCAGAATCATGAAAGCGTGTCTTTAAATACCCTCTGCTGCTGGCAGGACTTCAAAACACACTCATTACTTTTATTTGTTGGTTTATTTATATACTGTGGGTGTGCATGTCTGCTGTGACAAGTGTGGAGAGGTCAGAGGAAAATTTGTGGATGCCTGTTCTCCTGGGGTTCCAACCTAGGTTGTCAAGCTTGACAGCAAATGTCTTTATGCACTGAGGCATCTCACTGGGCCACCCTTACTCAAACAGGGCCAAGAAACATGACACTACAAAGGGGGCGCAGGCTAACCACTGAACCACAGCTTGCAGACACAAGGGGAAAGAACCGTGCTGTTGCTACATTCAGTGAGTTGAATTGATAAATGTAGCTCTGTTTGCAATTATTTAAGTTAAGGAGCATTTGTGTGTCTAGGTAAGCACATGGTTTCATCATGTCTGCCTGACCGGAAAGGCAATATGCATTAACACACTGGACGTAAGCTAGAACTGGACACACACATTTTTTGCTAAAAGTGTGAGAACCAATGGAATATGAGTAAAATCAAAGCATGATCCTAAGCTCTTTATTTGTTTTTTTTTGTTTGTTTTTTTTGTTTTGTTTTGTTTTTTGTTTTTTCGAGACAGGGTTTCTCTGTGGCTTTGGAGCCTGTCCTGGAACTAGCTCTGTAGACCAGGCTGGTCTCGAACTCACAGAGATCCTCCTGCCTCTGCCTCCCGAGTGCTGGGATTAAAGGCGTGCGCCACCACCGCCCGGCGATCCTAAGCTCTTTACAGTTCAGTCATGGCACTTTTACCCAGATGATACAAATCATATTTGCTTCTTTTCCAAAGCAGCAAGCTTTCATTTCAAGGATCAAAACACAGTGGCTGCCACCACTGCAGAACAAGCCAGAGGGATGGAACCAGAAGGTGCGTACTATGCTGCAGAAGATTCGCAGAGCGGCATCCTGCCCAGATGTGCCTGGTAACAAAGGGTACAGGTGACACTGCCGGCTCTTAGAGGAGGCAGAGATTTTATACACAACAAACACCCAGAACACAGCCAACCAAGTTGGGTAGAGAGACCTGAGACCCAGAATGTCAGTATCTGTGGCACAAAGCAAGGATCCTCCTTCAAGAAACCCCAAGGCATCTACCACAATAAACTTTCTAGGCAGGAAGAGCATCATGAGTGTGTAGCTCAGGGGATACCCAGCATGCACAAAGCCTGGGTAGATTTTCAGTAACACAAACTGGGCAAGGTGTATACACCTGTAATCACATCACTTGGAATGTGGAAAAGTGATCGGTTCACAGCTGCCAGGTGTGGTAACACACACCTCTCGTCCTAGCACTCAAGATGCAGAGGCAGGTGGATCTCTTGTGACATATGTAAACATCCTGGTTTACATAGAGTTCTAGGCTAGCCAAAGTCACATAGTGATACCCAATCTTAAAAAAGGCTAGAGCTGGAGAGGTGGCTCAGCAGTGAAGAGTTTCTGTAGAGGGCCTGAGTTCAGGTCCCAGCACCCACATCTGACTTGCAACTGGCCTGGAACTCTACCTCCAGGGGATCTGATGCCCTCCTCTGACCTGAGGGCACCTGCACTCCTGTGCATACAAACACATCCTTAATTCAAGCACGAGAACCTCTCCCCAACGGCACCCATGAACAAAGCAGGGCATGGTGGTGTACCGGCGAGGCAGAGACATGAGGACCCGTGCAGCTCAATGGCTAGCTAGCCCAAAGAGTGTTAAAGTGTCAAGCTGGACTCTACATACCAGCCCTCCGACACACACACACACACACACACACACACACACACACACACAGCTGTAGTGGCACTAGAAGCGAGAGGATCCCTGTAAATTTGAGGGCATACTGGTATATATAGTAAGTTCAATTGGCTCTTGCTGTCAGCGGTGATGAGGACTGGCTTCAATAGCCTCGAAGACGCAGAAAGGACTAGATTGGAGTTTTGGGAACTGTCACAGGAGCCCCTATGTGCTAACCCAAGCTGGCACTTCACCAGACACAGGTCAAAGACCCAGGATCCTGCTACTTAATAATGCCAGGAGCAATAAAATCCAATAAGACTAAATTAAAACTGTGGGAAACTCCACCCCCTTCTCAGTGAGGAGGAGGGAGGATCCCAGCCAGGTCCAGAGGCCAGTAGGAGATCAGGTCATCTGGGGGACGGCCTGGTGTTCCCTGCTGTGAGCACCAAACTCTCTCTAGAGCAAGGGTCATTACTGGCTTTGAGGGCAGGGCAGAGGTGGAAGGTTTCCTAAGTGCAAGTGTAGCTTGATAAAGCAGAGCCAGCAGCGGGCACAAGAAGGATCTGGGACATCACAGCCAGGAATTCAAACCCAGTCAACTGGAGGAAAATTGCACCAGTGCTACAGAGGCAGACAAAACAACTACTGTTCAGGCTGGGTGCGGGGCTCACACCTACAGTCGGCACCAGGAGGCCGAGGCAGAGGACTGTTGCAAGTCTGAAGCCAGTCATCATTACACAGTGAAACTCCGTTTAAAAGAGTAAAAAACAGATTCAATGTAATGCCCATCAAAATTACAGCAAAATTCTTCAGACCCTGAAAGAATGGTACTCAACTTCATATGGAAAAGCAAAAAACCCAGGATAGCCAAAACAATCCAGTACAATAAAAGAACTTCTGGGGGCATCACAATCCCTGACTTCAAACTCTACTACAGAGCTACAGTACTGAAAACAGCCTGATATTGGTTGGCATAAGAACAGACAGGAGGACCAATGGAACCGAATAGAAGACCCGGATATCAATCCACACATCTTCAAACACCTGATCTTTGATAAAGAAACAAAAAATATCAAATGGAAAAAAGAAAGCATATTTAACAAGTGGTGCTGGCATAACTGGATATCAACATGTAGAAGAATGAAAATAGACCCATATCTATCACCATGCACAAAACTCAAGTCCAAATGGATCAAAGACCTCAACATAAAGCCAGCCACATTGAACCTTACAGAAGAGAAAGTGGGAAGCACACTTGAACGCATTTGCACAGGGAACCACTTCCTAAACCCCAGCAGCACAGACACTGAGAGAAACAATAAATGGGACCTCCTGAAACTGAAAAGCTTCTGTAAAGCAAAGGACACAGTCAACAAGACAAAATGACAGCCTACAGAATGGGAAAAGATCTTCACTGACCCCACATCAGATAGAGGTCTGATCTCCAAAATATACAAAGAACTCAAAAAAATGGACACCGAAAGATCACATAATCCAATAAAAAAAAAATGAAATACAGACCTAAACAGAGAACTCTCAACAGAGGAATCTAAAATGGCTAAAAGACACTTAAGGAAATGTTCAACATCCTTAGTCATCAGAGAAATGCAAATCAAAACAACTCTGAGATTCCATCTTACACCTGTAAGAATGGCCAAGATCAAAAACACTGATGAAAACTTATACTGGAGAGGTTTTGGGGAAAAGGGAACACTTCTGCATTGCTGGTGGGAATGCAAGCTGGTACAATCCCTGTGGATGTCAGTGTGGCGATTTTTCAGAAAATTAGGAAACAACCTTCCTCAAGACCCAGCAATACCACTTTTGGGTATATATCCAAAGGATGCTCAATCGTGCCACAAGGACATGTACTCAACTATGTTCACAGCAGCATTGTTGGTCATAGCCAGAACCTGGAAACAACCTAAATGCCCCTTGATCACAAGAATGGATAAGGAAAATGTGGTACATTTACACAATGGAATACTACATAGCAGAAAAAAATAACGACATCTTGAATTTTGCTGGAAAATGGATAGAGTTAGAAAACATTTTGAGTGAAATAACCCAGATAAAGAAAGACAATTATCACATGTACTCACTCATAGGTGGTTTTTAAACATAAAGCAAAGAAAGCCAGCCTAAAAACCACAATCCCAGAGAACTTAGACAACAATGAGGACTCTAAGAGAGACTTACATAGATATAATCTACATGGGAAGTACAAAGTAGAAAAAGACAAGATCTCCTGAGTAAATTGGGAGCATGGAAACCTTGGGGGAGGATTGTAGGTGGAAGGGGAGAGGGAGGGAGGGGAGCAGAGAAAAATGTAGAGCCCAATAAATATCAATAAAAAAAAATACAAAAAAGAAAAGAGAGTAAAATAGTCAGGCAGGATGGTGCATACATTTAATCCCAGCACTCAAGAGGCAGAGGCAGGCAGATCTCTGTGAATTAGAGGCCAGTCTGGTCTACAGAGTTTCAAGACAGGCAGGGCTACACAGATACAGAGAAAACTCTGGCTTGAAAAACCAAAAAGGAGCAACCAAACTCCCCCGTCCCTGAAACCAGAATTAGAAGCCAAGAGACGGGGAGGAGGGGGTGGGTTAAAGCACACCCTTATCCTAGCATAGGTACAAGCAGTGCTGAGGCAAGCGGATCTCTGAATTATAGGCCAGCCAGAGTGGGGGGGGGGGAAGACATCTAAGAGGAGGAAGATTTCTTGGCTAGGCATGCAGGCACATATCTTTAATCTCAGCACTTGGGAGGTATAGGCAGGTAGACCTCTGTGAATTCAAGGTCATCCTGGTCTACAGAAGTCCGGGACAGCCAGCACTACAAAGAAACCCTGTTTCAACAACAAAAAGAAAAAAAAGAAAGATCTCTAACACCATTTTCAACAATGGAAATCACTGCACATCCCTGAGACAGAGTTCACCTGGATCCAAGTCTGTTAGATTGTGGATGTTTTCCCTGCAGAGGGACTAGCCATAC